AGCTGAAAAAAGAAGAGAGGCCAATTCCAAGGTAGGCACCGCCTGTGCACATTGGCTGCACGACGAGAAGCCAAGCTCTCTGCCAAGGCAGCTGCCAAGAAGAAGCCAAAGGAGCTGTCGCTATCGCTGCAGATGCCACCAAAAATCTCTGCAGGCCTCTACCCATTCCCAGCTAGATGATGTTTGTGTGAATCATGCGGTTCTGACCAAGACCACAGTCTTTTAAACTCTATTTTCTGCGTTTTATCACTACCTGCTCTTGGGCAAGCTGAGACGCTCCACAAAAGCTGGCAAGATCACCGTGGCTCTTAGCCCAGACCTCAAATCTCTCTGACTGCCCTTCCCAAGGACAACTATGGTGGTGCTTATTGAAGACTACCAGTTGCCTCCTGAAAGTGCAGCATCAAACTCAGCAGCCCCGAGGTCCTGCCCTGCCCACGCAGAACTCTTTCCTCCTGCCAATCTCAACGCCCACCACTAGAAAACCCTCCCCATTTGCAGAGGACAGAAATCCATCCAATTCCTACTGGCCAGCATCCTGCTTTCCGAAGCCAAAACCACACTGCAAAGCACAGATCCAAGCCTTGAGCTCAGCCAGCAATTCTTCATTTCATGAGAAATAAAAAAAAAATCCAGCCTCACCCGATACAACACGATGCTCCTCCCGGCACGCCGCCAAGCTGCCGGAGCTGTGCGGGCAGGCAGCAGGCAGAAGATGGGACGCCAGCATGGCCTTTCAACCATAAGTCAAGCCCTGGGGATGATGCCTCTCCTCCCCAATATCATGTTCTCATTCCTAGACCGGACCCAAAAAACCAAGGAAAGGAGTCCAGCACACCATGGAACTACAGGGCGTTTCTGACAGTTGCCAATGAGCTGTAAATCCAGGGGAAATTGCAGCCCTGCACTTCGACACAGGCGTAAACATGGTGTTCAAGCTCCTTCCAGAAAGTCCGCCAGCACTGGCAGATCTTAGCAGATTGGCATTCTGTAAAGAAATGGATGTTCTTTTGATTGTGAGCGTTTACGCTAATTAATGTTTAAAAAACTTGGGATGCAAAAGCAAAATCACAGATGCAGAAAGCAGCTCAAATCCAGAAGATATTGATAAATGCGCACGGATGTGACCATAGCTCCTAAACGAGCCCCGTTACCATGGCCAAAGCCATCCTGGAGAGAAATCCAGACTGCTCGGATCCACCTGCGTGCGAGGTGCAGCCGTAAGGGGATGTGCTCCTCTTGTGACTGGGTCTCTCCCCAAAATACAGCCTTGCTGTGCCTGGCTGGCTCCCAGCTCTGCTCTGGCTAGTCTGGATGAGGCCAGGCCATGCAGAGCTTGGCTCGGGATGGTGTCGCACCAGCGTCTGCTGCGGCCGGGCAAGGGGGAGAGCAGGCAGGAGAAAGGAGATGGCACTTCTCCTCCAGGGCTTGTTCCCAGACCCCTTCCACACCAGATCTCACCTACCCTGGACATATTCTCGGACATCTGCTCTCTTGCTTGATGTGATGGCATTTGCACCAAAAACATCGGTCATTTATTTGAACGTCCACCTGAAAACAGCTCTTCAGAAACACTCTTAGTAGGATGTTTCTTCAGTCATCCATTGCCCGATGAGATGTCCCTGGTTTCTACGGCGGCTTCCCCTGGCAATCCTTCACCTTGTTTTCCCTGTAATCTTTGCTTGTAAAGATGGATCGGAAAGTTACCGTTATCCCCTTTCTCACTTATTAATTATTCTGCTGCTCCTTCCCCAGCCTTTCCTCTTCACCTTGAAAGAGTTGCAGCCCCCCTCCTTTACGCCCTGAACCAGCCTAGCTAAGCTCCAGACTTCTGTGCTTAGCTACCTCCAATTTAAGGCATTTTCAAAATCTGAATGAAAAGGATTTATAGACTATTTTAAGACTTATCTCCAGAGGTATGAAAAGAGTTTCACTGGAAGGGTATTTAGCTACAAAGCTATCCAAAGGCAGCATATACTGCATATAAATTGGCAAAACAGATGCATTTTTAAAATACATGTAATTAAATAATGCAATATAAAACCAAGCATAAATTATCCCCCACTGAGAACAAAACCACACAGGAAGATGCTAGTGGAAATCCTTTTTTTAAACTGATACTGTATCCATGCACGTAATATGTATAAACACTTGGGCTCTCTTTAAACCACTCGACTGCTATCAGTGGGTTGCTCATCTCTGCGATGAGAAAACAGCTTGCGATACAAATAAAACTGATTATTTATTCATTTTCATATGGGTGCAGCTGTCGCATCTTTCTAGAGAAACTAAAGGAGAAGAATGCTTATTTTAACATTAAAGGGATCGAGATACTTATTTTTATTCTCTCTGTGTTGCTCTTAGTGGCTGTGCAATTAAAGGTGCACATTGAGTTGGTTGTCCGATTAGATTTATTTTATAATTATTTGTAATTATTTGGCTCCAAAGAACCTCCCTGGGATAACATGCTGTCACTTGCAGTTGAGGCTTTCAAATACCTCGTCACCCATGGCTTTATCTCACTCCTTTCTCAGCCTTCTGAAACTCCAGTCTGCGCTTTACACGAAAGCTCGCAGGGAAAAACTGAGCACAAGGGGACAGAAAAGCTCACGACCCAACTTCCATTAGCACACCTGGGATCACAGGCCAGATTTACAAGTTGCTGTTTACTGCAAAACCAGAGAAAGCCATTTGAGGAGGGGAGATCTCATGCTCAAGGGTTTTGATACTGATAACCCAAATTTGGGGTTTGGCAGGGGGCTTTTTGCAATGAAATCAGCAATATCCAAAGGCATGATGTTCCAACAGATGAATTAATTGGTGGTTCTTTACCGATACTCTTTCAAGCTGCAGTTAGATGAACGCTGCAAACCTGCTTTCACGTGGCAAATCCTATCTTGGTATTCAAGGCCGGAAAATTCAGATTAAATTATTCCACCCAGCCTAGAAGCAGTCCCAGAGCTCAGAGCCAAAATACGCTGGGGATACACACAGAATCATAGAATGGCAAGGGTTGGAAGGGACCTTGAGAGATCATAGAATCATAGAACCATAGAACCGTCTAGGTTGGAAAAGACTTTTAAGATCATCAAGTCCAACCCTCCTGCTAAAGCAGGTTCACCCAGAGCATGTTGCACAGGTACGATGGAGGGCAGCAGGAGCGCCTATAGCAAGAGCATGCACGGATTCAATGCAAGCAGGGGCCTACGTACACAATTATTTGCCTTACAAAGTAAGGCAAATAAACTTGAAACATCTAGATACTGCACCACCTGTCTGCAAGGTTTCTGCTGCAGTTTAAAAGTGGCGGTGTGGAACTGGCCTGCAGTACGGTCCTTACCCAAACGCTGATTCTGCTGCGAGGTTTTGAGCTTGTCCTGCTGTCCACAGCTCCTGTAGGGACCCTTTGCAAGAGGCCATGTGGGACACTGCATCCAGCTTTCTGCAGGGAGGCCAACGATCCTGCCATTCCTCTAGTGACAGCACTGAAACACTCATCCTAACAACAAAAATACGTTCACAGAAAAACTCTGTTTTCTCAGCCTTCATTTTACCCTTTCCAGCTTCAAGCTCTTGCTTCTGGCAGTCCATCTCAACTCCCCCTCTGTGCCTCTTCTTCCTCTCCAAACACCCCTCAGCTGCTCTAGTGGTGGTTTGAATAGCAAAGAGGTTGTTGGATAAATCAGCTTGCTCTTCTAAAACTCAGGGTAATTGTAAAATGCACTGTTAAACTATGGGCATGCTCCAAGCCAACGTGGCTGCATTTTAACAAACCGGTGCTCTCTTATCCTTTCCTAATCTTGCAGGGCAGCTGTTAGGCTGACAAATGTTTGCTAACAACTCAAAGGGCTTTGGATGGAAATAAACTGTTAGAGGATTTTCAAAGGTCAGTCCTATACAATAGGAATATTGCCCTTTCAGATTCTAAGACATGAAAACCAACAAATTTCACCCAACGCCTGATAGCACAGCATCAATTAAGTTAAGTGGTGAAACAACAGGGCTGAGACCCAGGAGCTCGGGGCTGGAGAAGCACAGCTCAGTATCATTTAATACAGGAAAAAAATAGCAGCCTTATGTCAGCATCCCCATTTCCTGCCCCTGATGATTTTCATCTGCACTATAAAATTCAATTCAGGGGGGATTTTTTCCCCACTACGACCTCCTCATCTCTACAGCATCCCTTCTCCGGCTCCGTGTCTCCATCCAACGCGGGCGCCTGAGCTCTCCCAGGACAGGATCCAGCAGCGTGCTCAGGAGAGCCGAGACCTGATGAAATGGGGGCACCTGCCTTGCATTTTCTGTACCAAAGGCATTTTGCCAATATTAGGTAAAACACAGCGATGCCATTTCTAACCAGCCCTCGCTGCTGAAAAAGAGAACACGCGAAGAGACAGAAAGAGGGCAGGAACATCTTTTAACCCTTTTCTCAAGGTGGAATTATTAGCGCCTGGAGCTCAGGGATGGGGGATTCAAACTGCTTGTGGGGAGCAAAAACTTCGCAGAGCTAGATTGGTAAATACAAACAGCTTGGGAGTAAATGAGCATACTGCCACTGAGCCTGGGAACAAATACCACCTTCCTGCTTCAGACCTAAGCCAACTCTGACTCCTGGGATTCAACAGGAGTTTGGTTCTGCCAGCAGAGGAGCTGCAGATCTCGCAGCCTCCTGGCCCATCCCTGCAGGCAGGCAGTGCCTGAAGAGCACATCGGGCTAGCGGGATCACTGCTCTGAACTAGCTGCATCTCCTGGATCTGTTCTGGGTATCTGGAGCACTGTGTCCAGTTCTGGGCTCCTCAGTTCAAGAAGGATGAGGAACTCCTGGAGAGAGTCCAGAGGAGGGCAACAAGGATGATGGGGGGACTGGAGCATCTCCCCTAGGAGGAAAGGCTGAGGGAGCTGGGGGGGGGCTGTGGAGTCTCCTTCTCTGGAGATCTTCAACCCCCGCCTGGACGCTGTCCTGTGCCCCCTGCTCTGGGTGAGCCTGCTTGGGCAGGGGGGTGGCACTGGGTGAGCTCTGGAGGGCCCTGCCAGCCCCGGCCATGCTGGGATTCTGGGATCGTAGGAAATCTGGCACCGCACCACGCAGGGCAGAGATGCACAAGCTCAGAGCGATACCCGCAGCCAGGACCGCTGCACACCGCTTGGGCTAATTTCAAAGTTTTCAGAGCAGCTTGTGCAATTTGGAGCAGCAGAGTGAAAACAGGTGAGGAAAGAGCCCACAGCCAGGACTATCCCATTCCTGTACTTGAACTAATCACAGAAGCGCTGTGTAATGCAGCCTGACGAAGAAGAAACACCCGACCAGCTCACAGAGGAACCGACTGGAAAAGCCTGACCTTATTTCGGCAAAAGTTTTCAGTGACCCTGCCTCACTTTCCCAGCTGCGCTATGCAGGTGGAGTGCTCACCACAGATGTGTCGGGAGATATCTCAGGCCAGGTGCAATCTCAGTATGTTGTCCTCCTTGGAAGCGCCACACAAGAGCCTGGAACAGCCATATGAGAGCCTAAGGAAGATGCACAAACTGCAACTCCTTGACCTTGTTTAAACAACCAAGCAAAACCCAAAAACTTCTAAAGTATCGAAGCCCAGATCTCTCTCAGCCCTTGACTCTTGAGAAGACTCCGCTAGCTAATTCATGCACTTCTAATTTCATTGGAAAAGACACGCTGCTAGTCCCCTGGTCCACACTGAGAAGTCTGGCAGCAAATGGACCGAGAGCTCAGGGATGGATCTGCAAGGAGCTGTCACATCTCATCTGCAAGACTGAGAGCGTGTAAAAGTCAGCAAGGCGATTTAGGAGCACCCTTGAGGTAACCTCTTCTTGCCAAGCCATCAGCTGCCACGCAATACCAGGTCATCAGCATCAAAGGGAAACACAGCAACATCCATCTTAGGAAACAGAAATGCACAACAGAGAGTCAAGAGCATCTCCTGGGGAAGAAGAAAGCGCTGGAAACCCAAGGGATGCAGTCCCAGAGGATTACTGGAAATATCTTTCTGTTCACTAAGTGAGGCAGAGCTTATCTTTCCACACTTTGCTCTTTGGCTGATAGCCCAGCTGCTTTAATTAACAGAGACTTTCGTCAGTGCAAATCCTCAGTATTGTTGTGCAATTACTTCTTCAGCAGGTTCCTTCTCTTCCTACTCGGTATCTGTCAAGCAGGATTTCCACTACAGCAGCAAAACAAAATGCCTGGCAGAGCAGGTGCGATTATTTTAAAATTTGTTAAAATTGGTACGTCTTCACTGTTTGGAATACGTTATGTCTAATGATGCCTGGTGACGTTGTTCAGCATTTAAAAGGTGCTGTGTCCTATGCTAGAAGAGCTTTAGTACAGGCGTTCATACCTGGGGGCTGAAGGCATCAAAATGAACATTATATCTCAACTAACAGAGGAAAGAACTGGGGTCAAACTATCAACTTACTGAGCAGCTACTAAAAAAGCTGGTATATAAACTTGGCATATAAGCAGAGCCAAGCAGCCATCAGGTTTGCAGGCAGGTTATTTTTCCATGGGAAGAAGACAAGAGGATTTATTAATGCCTACGTGGCTGGGAGCATCAACCATAAAGAGCACTCAGACACCCAAACCCACATTTGGCTTCCAGGTTTATTCCAGACTGGAAACTTTCCAGGGACTTCCAGGAGGAGAAGGCTGAGAACTCACTGGGAAAGTTTTGATGGGTCTGGATGAAATGAAGACAGCTTTCTGCCAGCAGATCTGTCCTCAAATCCATTGTCTAGAGATGAGAGCTCTTTTATGTAATGTTAGAAGAAAAGAACGAGCAACTCCATACCATGATTCCCTAATCAGCATTTTATCTCTCATTTTTCCCTGGGATGAGTACAGCTCATGGAGAAAAGCAATTTCCATCAGCTCAAATATCAGAGAATAGGGTTGGTATATTACCCTGAACATGATCAAACAAAGGGGAAAGGCAGTTCCATCAAACACGCAGTCTCACCTCAGCAAGCAATAAACGCCTTCTCACTCGACACGGCAGAGCCAGTAGATGACAAACCAGGACAGAAGCCTCATATGGGTTTCCAAAGATTTTCCCTTTGCTTGGAGGCTTCAACTGCTGGATCCTAATTGCTGGATCCCATGGCTGGATCCTACTTCATCTGGTCCATGTCCCACAGCAGCCCATCCTCTGCTTCCATCCAGAGGAGCAGAAGGCAGCAGGAAGAGGAGCACCATCCCCGTACTCTCCAAGCCACGGGCTTTGCGGTGGGCAACGTCGCATTCTTCAAAGCTTGGCTCGCCCTGAGACTTTTACTACTTAGTGATCTATTTAAACTCTTAAGGTATCACAACCAGTCAATTCGAAAGTAAAATAAAATCAAGGGGGGGACAAACACTTCCACCAAGAGGTAGTTAATACATTACTGACAAACACATGGTTGGGATGAATACAGACTACCACAACCACCTCCAACAATCCACAGTATGGGTTGGGAATTAAGGACCAGTATATGTTAGAAATTACAGAGTTCACATAAATAAGGCATAATTAAAAACAATTCCTTTTATAAATTTTGGATAAAATCAACCTAATTATTAGCAGTGTTTTGAAACCCATTTGCTTTGCTTTGTCACCTGCATTCAGAGACAGAGGAAAAGGAGCCTTATTGCAAAGAATCATCCAGCTTACAGCTGTTATATTCCCCAGAAAAGTGCTTTTCTTGCTCTGTTAGCTCTCTTCTTTCGCAGTAACAGACAGGGCTGTTCCTTACTGCAGAGATAAGGCAGGTTTCCACCAGCCCGGGCTCCAGGCAGCTTGGGAGATCAAAGTGACGATTAGTCCCTTTACATTGAGGTTGCGAAAACTGAACCTCCTTGCCCAGAATGCTTCAAACGTTCAATGTCGAGAACAAAACCCATTTCCCTTTCCTACACGAACCTCAGAAAATTCAGATAAACAGTCAGAAACCCGAAGACTTTGCTAAACTATTTCGATCTGAAAGCCTTATCTGTGAAGCCTAAGAACAGCTTCACCAGATTTCCCATCTTTCTGCTGCTAGTAAATCTGGGAATAGGTGAAAACAGCTTTCTACAGTATTTCTGTGAGCGTATAAGGAGATGTACAAGTGCACGCTTTAGTGACCATGGCTTGCTGTTCTCTGTGCCTCAGTTTCCCTCTGGCTTATTAGCAAGATGACCTTAGCTTGTGGCTTACGAACTTTGAGCCAGTTTCAGGAGAAGGGAAATATTCCTCGCCTTTCTTCACAGGGTAACACAGATTTTCATTAATTAACTCAAGGCTTTAAATGGAAGTGACTTAAACTGACTACTTTTTCTCTAGACATCTCTTATGCTCTCTAAAATGCCATCTCCTCGCTGCCATCATGAAGAAAAAAACCACTCCATCCTTTCTGGGTACTTGTAGTGAAACAGGTCCTAATCCAGGGTTACAGCAGTCAAGACAACGGGAAAACAAACCGCAGCCCTTGGTTCTGAATCCAGCTACTCCATCACCTTTCTGCTTATCGATGGCTTTTCACGCGAGATAAACCTCCTCCTCCAGAAGCACGGGAAGGAGCCAGGCGCTGCTTTTTGGAGACTGGAGTGTTCCCTATGCACAGCACGGCAGGGAGATCCGTCATGCTTTATCGCTAACTGCAGAGTTCAATTTCAAGAAAATTGAAGAAAAAGCATCCATCAATTAGATAAGGGAGAGCAGCATCTGCTTCCTCACCAGATACAGGCAGGCACTGTGGGGAAAAGGGGTAAGAGACTGTCCAGGAGGTGAGTAATATTGTGGCTGCTGTGCTGCACCATCGCCAGCCCACCGGCAAACTTGGGAATAAGTCACCGTCTTCTATTTGAGAGCTGCAATATCTTTGCTGATCGATCCCACAGAGCTTGGGGAGGCATCTATGAGCTACACCAGACACATAAGAACAAGAAGAGTGATTAAATCCTCTCTCCTGCTCCTTATTTCTTTCTCTAACCTTGTATCCAAGAGCTACCTTTCTCTTTATAACCTTCTCACGTCCTTCACAGTTGTCTCCTTCATGTCCCAATGCCCCATGAGGTCCCTTCTGTTCCAGCAAACTTTAACAGCACGGATTTTCTTTTGTCCCATCTATTTTAATACCCTCAAGCCAAAGCCAAATTCAAGACCTCGGTGATTACAGCTCGCTCCTTCTCTCCTGTGCCTCAGGGACCATCCATTTCTTGTAGTACGGCACCAGAGGATGGTACTGCTGGCGACAGACGGGATACATCTGTCTCAAAGAGGGGAAAAAAGTGTTCCCCTCCATGCTTGTCCCACTGTATGGAAAAATTTGGGGACATTAAATATTCTGTTGTTATTTAAATAGGCACATGCAGGCCCCCATGCATACCCTAAAAGCACCAGGAATCCAGCCCTGGAAAAACATTTTGGTATTTTGCTGCTGCACTGACGCTGGTGCCAAGTCCTGCCGTGCCGCTTTTGTCCCTTAGCTGTTGTGACAGCGTCTGCTCCGGAATGGAGAATGCTTTAAAGATGCACAGACAGTTTTCATGTTGGTAGTTAAAGGCTTCAATACGGGGGGATTGGCACCCTTGACATTTTCAAGCTTTTAGGTGTGAGAAAAAACCATCCGATTATGTACACTGCAGTGTAGAAGGACGCTTCCCTCCCTTGTTTTTCCTTTCCAATGCTCCAAAGCAACACCTTCCTTCTGGTCACCGACCCCATTAGCTACACCCTACGCCAAGGGAGTTCAGAGAGCTGAGGCTACGGCGGTATTTTATCTATGGAAAAGGCGTTACAAACCAGCAGACGGCACGGGAGAGGATGAAGCACTGGTTTTAGGCAACAGCAGTGGAGTATGCAAGGTGTTCGAGTTAATATTCAGAGTGCAAATCCCTCCGAAGTCGGCACTGCTTGTTACATTATCAGCGTACATTCATGCACCGCTGCACATTCGCTCAGGCCCTGCAGTGACAAGCATCTGGATTTCAGCATCGCAGGTAAACTAAGCAGCAAATTTGCTCCTTCCTCTTCTGCTCTACTATGGTAAAAATACATATTGAGAGAGCAAAACTCCCAGAGATTTTGAGAACTGATGCGCCCCTCCAGCAGCACCGTGCTCTGCAGGCAGCAGGTGGTGCTACGTACCCGACAGCAGCACACAGACATCTTTGTGCAACATCGCCCTGCCTTACAAAATTGCTCTCATCGAGAAATCTAACTCGTAAACCTGTGATATACTGCTGGTAAAGCTGCTGCACTGGATGGGGCCCGTTTAACCCACGGATGGCACAGATCTCTCGGACAAAGTGATTCAGTGCTGGGAACCGAGGTGATTTTCTCAGCTGATTTTGTTGCAGAAAGCATAGCCTGAATTGTTCCTTCTGGAAGCAAAACCTGTAGCTCCCCGCTCACGTATGCAAACCAGGACCTGAACGTTAAGTTGGGTTCCTCCTGATTTTGTACACAAGAGTTGCAAGCTTGGGTAAGGAAGGGAAAAGCAGTAAGTGCCCAGTGTAAAGCTCTGACTCAGGGAGGAGCTTCAGGTGAGCTGGCCCAGCAAAGCACAAGTCACGTCACCAAGGAAGGGTTAGGCATGAGCTTAAGTACCTGGTTGAGTCAGGACCTGAGCTGGCGTCTCCGCAAAGCTCCCAGGAATCAAAAGGATCAATTGAAATGATGGCGTGATCAGTATGGAGTGTTTTATTCTCTTTGTTAACTCGAGGACCTCACCCTGGATCACACACACCACTCCAGTTTAGCTCGAGTTACTGGTGACTGCGCGAGCTGGGAGTTGGCAAGGTTGGCTCTGCTCTTACCAGAAAACCAAACATGATGTTGAAGGACAAGCAGAGAAGCTCATGCTGCCACCATGGCATGCTACACACTGATGTTACCGTCTGACCAAGTTCTGTTCCTCCTCTTCTTAGCCAGAAGCATCACCTAGGGATCCCATTGTGCCCCTTAAAACGGAGATGCCAAAATGCCTTCAAATATTTCTGGTAGAAAGGCCATGCAAACCTAAGGCATCCATCCTTCAGCAGGGAGCCCAGCACAGTAGGGTTGTACAACGCTGCCCAAACAGAAGGGAAAGTCATGACGGCGTTTCCCCCCTAGTCTGCTCCTGATTAACAAGTGGCATTTCAAGGGACGCCGTGGCCAGCCAAACAGGTCTGCAGATGCGGCAATGCTTCCGGATGAGACATTTTCCAAAGATTATTCCTTTTTAAACAAGCAGCTAAATTGAATGAGCTTTCTCAGCCGGCCACCAAGCCAGCAGAAAAGGACGTTACGCCACTGGAACTGGCTGCAGAGATCAAAGCCAGCTACTTATTCTGTAACAAAGCTGAAGGAAAGGATTAGTCACTGCTGAGAGCCACAGGAGCTGGCATTGGCAGTGAACCCAGCTAAATTGCTCAGAAATGCCTACAAGCACACACCACCTAACCCCAGAGGAAGAAGAGAAAGCAAACTGCTGCAGGGCTTTTGCAGCCATGGCTCTGTCACTGCAGGACCTGCACAGACACAGAAAAGAAAGAGGAGTTGGAAGTTCAGGCTGTAATTTCTTAGAACATGAGCACAGGTTGTGAAAAGACTGCTTTGGGTTAAATAAGGTTTAGCCCCAAATGTGGGAAGCCCTTTTGCAGCTCAGCTGGGCTCATAGGCAACGCTTCACGCATGGTATGGGCAGCCCATGCAAAGCCCTTGGGCTTCCAAAATAACCCAACCAAAAGCCAGGCATTACTGGGAAAGCAGGAGAGATGTTACGCTGGCTCAAAGCGAAGTAAAACCACGACACAACTGGAGAGTCCTGATCCAGCTCACCTCCCGTAGCAAAACATCCCGACTTCAGGTTGGTACAAAAACTCAATTAGCAGCTAACGAGGATAAATCTCACTCCTCCACTACCTCCAACACATGCAGCCCAACCAGCTCAAATCTCAGATGAAATTATGTTGTTTGAGAAGTTTGCAGGCGGGTCGCTGAGCAGCCAGCAAACATTTGTACGGTGCCACCACCCCCCAGCCCACGCATCCAGAGTGATGGATTTGAGGACCAGTAACGTCAGCAGCCACCCTGAGCTGCGTACGAAGGGCTCAGGACAGGAAAAAAGTAAAACAAGCCTCGAGGAATAAAAAGCAGCATCGATGGGAAATCACTGTTCCAGGTTCAAAGACCCCTGCAAAGAGCTGAAGCTGTCTGTCTGTCTTCCACAAACCTTCTTCTCACATTGCTCGGACCTTTGGCAGGCAGAGAGCGCTGTGCTGGCAACACAGAACCAAGCCTTTGCAATTTGAAAGCAGCGGTTCCTCTCTCTGGCTGGCAAACCTTTTCTTAAAACAAGATGCTTTCTCCTTACGCTGCTAAGGCCGGGACGGTGGGGAAAAAAAGTCAAAAAAGTATCTTTGTCCAGTTTAAGAGACAGACTGACCCAAAGATGCTGGAGTCGGAATGCAGAGGGTGCATACAACGGGCTGAGAATTTCTTGTACTTAAGATTATAAGCAAATCTAGGCTCTTCCTGAGCTCAGCCTTCCCTTTCCCAGTCTCCTCCCATCTCCAGGGCACAACACACAGGCTGAGAAACGTGGGTAGCAGAGGTTGCTGAGCGCACAGTTTGCTTTCCTGGCTCGAACTGCAGCTCCTGGGGGGCTTTAAGGAAGTTTCTGAAAGGGAAATGGATAATTTAATTGCTGCATTAGAGGATCTGCGGCTGGTTTGAGTGCAAGCTGCTCCAGAGCTTAATAACGTCGCTGCTTGGGGCTTTGTGCCTTCCCCACTGAACTGAGGGCATATGCAACACTGGCAGCCTTCTGAAATACATATTAAATACACTAAAACAAACTCTTCAGGTAACTCTGGCTGTTCAAGCTCAACTCATTCTTTTAGGTTTTTAGGATTAAAACCAAAGCAGGAACAGGGAAAATGAATCCTGTCCCCCCAAGCAACCCATGTCTTGCTCAGAGCCACGTGGAAGACGGATGATGAACCAACTCTGGAGGATTTGAAGAGCTGCTTAAACCATGTACAGGGTTTATTAAGCATCTGGACTTGCATCTGTGCTGCAAGTTTGCTGATGAATTGCAAGCAAGTGCCTTACAGCAACCAGAAAACAGCAGCACATCAGTGCCGAGCGCACCGCAAAGCACAGCAGGATCTGAATCTTCTTGGGTGCATCTTATTACCATTTGCGTGGGCTGGATGTGTGGCTGCCTGAGTGTTTTGTTTCATTTGTTTCCCTTCACTTTTATTCATGTGGATGAAAATGCTGTCAAGGAATCGCAAAGCAAAGAGTGAGGTTTCTCCTGTCATCGCCTGTACGCTGTTTAGAAATCCTGAGCGTGGAGATGCTGAAAGGGGAGGCTGGAAGTCTCTACTCCAAAATCAAGCCAGATCTTCTCCTTAATGACTCCTCCTCTATTCCGCCACTGAAAATCTTTCCAAGATTAATGTGTGTGCAGGGGCAATGCGGGAGCGGCAGCCAAGTATCGCCACCTCCCTGAAACCCTACTGCAGTCTTTCCACCTGTTCAGAGTAAAGATTCAATCCAAATTCCTTTCCCCTTTTCTTCCCTGCAATCATGGAAATAGCAGGAGCACTCGCCGGGGACTTCAGCAGCCGCAGCAATGCTGTGTACAGGGCTCTCACCCTTGCTACGAGGGAGCCGAGCTTAACTGCTGGCAGGGATCGGTGGTCCAGGCAGTTTTTAATTCCTTGAGTATATTGTGACCTTGCCAAATGCCACAGACATCTTGAAGGATGCGTCAACACTGTGTAAATGCCGCAGTGAGGCGCTCAGAAGTTGAGCAGCAGTTGCAATGCCACTGCTGGCGCTGGTAGGGTCACGCTCTCCAGGTTCTTCTGGCTGAGGAAGTTCTCCTAATGCAGTGCTAGAGATGCAAACACTTGCAGAAAGCAAGTTTTTAAGCTTGCACAAACAAGACTTCTCACTTACAACCTTTGTTTTTTGCTGCGATACTATTTAACGTGAGATGGGAACAATTTCTACAGCTCAACTCCAGCAGAAAGGTACTTCAAATTACAGGGTAATCTACCTACATCTGTTCCAGGGGCAACCTTGAATGACTACACACACAACTTTACATTAAGTTACATTTGCACCTAGTCACTTCAGGCTCAGTACAGGGCCAGAATATTTTATCAGAGACTCCCGTGCAGCTAAGGAATCTTATTACGCTGTAACAAGAAATCTGTATCTAAGTAAAAATTTTAAAAAATCAAATATATTCTGTAGCCCTGTTTATCTCATTATCCACAAAAGATTCAAAGATCCGACACAGCTTCAAGCTTTGCTCTTGATTAACTCCCAGCCCACCAGGGAAAAGAAACTCCATAACCTGCTTTGGAAGACCAAATCACAACCAAGCATCACAGTTTGCAAACGAAGTTTCAAGGCACTGATCGACGAACTAACTACCCACGTGGTAAGGCTAAAGGAGGAAGCCCAATTCTCCTTTGGATATTCTGCTAGCACAAAGCCGCGACAGCTAAAGTGTAGTCCTAAGTCCCACCAAGGCGCTGATGGTGGGCCTGAGGACTACATTATGCTTCCAAGGGCTCATTTTTCAGCCCCGAACATGCTACACACATTGCACTGTCTCATTAGGCTGCGATTTACCTCAATAACCTTCTGCCTTTGGGCGCTTTGATCATGGATCATGCCGACACACGTGTGCTGCTGTTGCGCTGTTCCTCACAGTCAGATGGTGCCTGGACCCACCTCAATTGCAAGGGGGGGACGACCCAAATCCGCCCCTGTCCACTTCTCTTCCCCCCAAGTTTCCTCTGCATAGCTCTGTGCTTTGGGACTTGAACGCAAGGCAATTTCCTGCATCCCAATGTTACTGGGAATGTATTTGCTACACAGAGATACAGAACTGCTTCAAGATCTGAGAGAATTGGACATTCCCCACCAAAAGGCATTTTTTTCCCAGTAAGGAAATCAGATTCACAGCTCTGCAGTTTCTTTCACCATCATAAGTCGTAAGGGCTTGCGTTTCTTGCCAACCCAATGTATCCACCTGCCTCTTCCCCTGGCTACCACATCCCACGTCTCAGCCACCAAGGCTCAAACAAAGCCTCTTACTCCCCAAGTTCTTGTTGCCCTTTTCCACAGTGAGTCTTAGGATCTGTTGCTGTTTGATGAAGCCCAGGTAAGTTTCTCTATCATTACCACACTAAACCATCCACATAGATGAATGCTACAGACTCCCAATGCAATTTAAACACCCAGTCTGGAGATGGACTTAGCAACAAGCACTTTGGTGGGACGGATGCCTGGAGGCTGCAAAGGTTTAAGCCTTCTGTAAGAGATCCCAAGAGACTTGGGCTCTTGGAGACTTAGAAACATGGGAAGAAAGCATACCTATGATAGACCAACAGGCTCCTTCGGAAAGGATGCCAGCAGAAGCTTGCTGTGCTCCAACCACTCCCCAGCACTTGGCCATGAGCTCAGTGTTCTCATCCAACATCCCAAAACAGACACAAGACAACTTCCTCCTCTTGAACAGAGCGGTACTGAGCATCCCCCATAGCATACAAACCCCAGCGTGTGGCTCGAAGGCGGCACACAGCAACTCGTGTGCGTCAACGTCCCCAAAAAAGCCAGTGGGACTCCAGCACAATAGATGTGCAGATGAGAGCAGAGTGAAAAAAGGCATTAACATCCATCAACAGAAACGTGTTTTTCTTTCACAAATAGCACCCATTAGCAACTCCAAGGAGAACAATCCCTACTCTTCAGCTCTGAAGAAGTACACAGTTTTTCAGGAGACACAATGCGAAGATTTTGCAGAATTCAGGCATTCAACAGGACTAATGTGAAAGATTATTTTGCAATTATCCAAGCAATTTTCTCTCCTCATTGTCCCTAGACCATAAGGGTTTTTAAATGTGAGCAGAAGGATTTATTCATCACAATAATAATAAAACGAAATATTAAATCAATGAATCTCTTTGCATGAAGCATAAAGCTCACTCTGCTATTAAGCTTAGTAGCGTCCTGTCACATAAACCACACACAGTTTGTGTACTTAAGTACCATCTCCCTCTTTTATTTTTCCCTTCCCTAATTTGTACGGCATTATCCTTCCATTTGTCCTCTAAACATGACTGGATTCAGACAACACAGTGTTGCTTCTTGTTAGTGGCTCTATACCCGTGCTCCCTTTATGAGGGCACGTGGAGATTTATATTTAATATTGATTGTTAACAATGGCCAGTGCAGAAAGTTATGCTGGGGTGCCAGAGAAGTCCTAAAATAAATACACACATACATAAATAAATTTAGGGAGAATTAACTCCTTACAAGCAACACTGCCAGTATGCAAGGGTAGCTAGGCATGAAAATGAATGCTGGTCTTTGAAAGTGTTGATTTTTCAGTCTGGCTGGGTATTAAAAAAAAACAAACAAAAACCACATCAACCTAAACATAAGCAAAACTCAATTACAACCTTTGGAGCATGGAAGCTCTTATGGTCATGGTGGCCTTGGATTGTATTTCCTTCTCTGCTATCCCTTGTAATATAAAGCAATAAAGGCTTGAGGCCTTGTCTGAGGCCCTTGCAGTGGGCGTAGCTTCAGTAGGTCTCTCTTTTGTTTTTATAAAAGATTTATCTGGTAACCTGCAGAAGCAGTCACTGCCTAGGTATTTATAAGGTGCCTGCTGTCCTCACAGTGTGACACCAAAAGAGCCTAAGCAATATTTTCAGTAAACAGGCATCTCCAGCCCGAGATTCATATTAGGTTCCATCCAAGCAATGACTGTTTCATGAGTACTGAACACCTGGCACCCCTAAAGAGCCCGTACTTTTACAATTTAGGCTCTTGTGTGTATCAGCTCCTCTATTTCATACCCCAAAGGCCACCATCTCCCATGACAGCAATTCATCTCGCCTAAGTTCACACATCCACAGAGCACAGCCATCCGCCTCTGCGCATCGGCCTCCCTTCAAAGCTGGTGGAGAGAAACAGGCGTTTTTAGAGCACCAGCCATGGCATTCTCACACAAACACCTAAAATGGGTCAGATGAGTAATACCTGTAACCTCCCTGTTTTTCACTGTTGATAAAAGAGTCCAGATCAGGTACACACATCTACAACTACATGAGATTAATGCCGTCCTAGATGACTTAAGCTGAGCTGACACACATCAGAGCTACAGCCAACTTTAATGCGCAAACCCCACCGGGAAGCGAGCCCAAAGTAGCTACATCTTTCTTACCATGATTGGGACGCCAATGTCTGGCCACAAGAGATCCTCAGAGGGAAGCTTGGGAGAGTTCCATACTACCACAACTTTATTTAAGTACGGCAGACCATTGAGCCTTTCTAGGGAGTTCATCAATACTTCCTCCCGCTCATAAGTCAACATCACTACTGTGAACTGCTCCCGGGGGACATTGCCACCCAAAGCAGCCTGGAACTCCTTCCCAGAGCCACCTGCTCCTCCACCAATTGGTCGAAATCCAGTCCCAGACCCCAAAAATTTTGCTTCTGATGGTAAAACAGGGTCAAAAGGAGTGTAGGGGAAGAGGTGGAAAGGCCCCGGAGCAGAATTCCAATTCCTGTAGATGTCCATTGCAGTGAGGGTGAAATTGCGGAGATATTTGGGAGATGCATAGGGTGGTTCTGTCTCCACAGGCCCCAAGTCCAGGTCACCATTGTCTGCCATATTGGGGTCTGTACCAGCAGCTTTTCCAGACCGGTGGGGAATCTCCACGGCGGTTTCTTCTCGGATAGGAGCAGCCGGGATTTGGATTCGAGTCCTTATGATAGCTAAGACTGTGCTGAACACGTTGTCAGAGGTGGAGAAGTAGGTCTCCCACAAGAAGCGGCCCTGCCTCCTCATGGCAAGGAGATCGTTGTCAGAAATGCTTCTCAGAAGAAAGTGCACTTCTGTGATACGTGGCTTTGGTATGATTAAGGCTGCCTCGTTCCACCGGATCACATCATTATAGGGTAGCTGAACTTGCTCTCCAAGAACCACTGGGATGGCTCCAACTTCCAGAGCCTCAAACAGTCTCATGGCACACCCGGCAGAGATCACTAAATGGGTGTCCCCTGGGGTGATTATCAGTGCAAAAGTAGATTGCTTCAGTAGCTCTAGTCTGTCATCCCTTTCTCCACACAGAGCCCACTCAGTGGGCAGACTCGTCTTAGGCTGGTTCTTACACGTGAACTCCACCAAAACAAAGTCCAACTTGCTGTCCTGAACAGCCTTCAGGGTGGTGATGATCCGATCGTCGTAGTCAGCTGGGGCATTGCCTTCTATTTCCTCTTCAAAAGAGCGAACCTCTTGCAAGCTAGATCTGAGAGACTCGATCTTCTCCCCCTGGAAACTAAACAGATATTTACGCTTGACTGGCACCTGGGGAGGGATTTCTAGGAAGTTAGGTTCAGACATAGCATGGACCAGAGGCGATACCACAATATCAAACCCTGGTCGATACTGCACATCGTAAAAGGTGGACTGGGCAATCATGGCGCGCCCTGTGCTGATGTTGTAAATGAAGTTCTGAGTTTCCGATTTCCTTGATAAATTGATGATGAGATGGTTATGCCCATCAGTCCTCCAATATGGCAAAGAGTGCAACTGTTGCTCTAGTTCAGTAGGTTTTGGCATTACGGGCTCTTGCATTTCCCCCACTAAAATTATATACACACAAGCAATATTTGCATTTTCAGTAACATAAACATTAGTTCTGACAGTTGCCTCAAAGGCTTGTTTAATTAAAGGGTCTAAGGAACTACCAAAAGGGTAATCGTCACTGTTATAGACATAGACTGGAAAGCCAGATGTCAACGGGCAGCGTGAGTAGTCAAAGCAGTTGTGTAGCCTGCAGTTCCGGTTGGATTTAGGCAGGGGGAAGGTCACATCATCTTTGTCTGGCAGGAGCCGGATGGGCAAGGAAAGCTTGGGCTGGTTCTGAGCCATCAGCTCTTTGTAGGAATGCTCAGTCTGGCTAATGACATTCTTCAGCTGCAGCAGGTCCTGCTTGGCATTTTCAATGCTCTTTTTGCAGGCCTCGATCTTCAAGTTGAGCTTGGCGATCTCACTGTTGAGCTCCTGCCGCTTGGCCTCCAGCTGGAGCAGCTCCTCGCTGACCGACTCGCGGATGCGGCACAGGTCTTGCACATGCTTTACCTCGCACAGCTCGTTGCCGGTCCGAGGGCCAAAGATGCGCTTGCCGGCATCGTCCGCGTCATCGATGGTGGTTAGGTAGTAGTGAGCAATGAGGGGAAAGAAAACGAGGATAATGAAGAGGGTGAAACTAAGCCAGGTGAGCCGGATCCGACTGGACCACCTCAACACCCACGGCTGGCCTCCGTTCCCCACTCCCCCATTCCGCAACATCGTATATCCAGTCATGAGTTCAAAAGTCGCTGCGCACCCAATCACGTTGGATCAGTAGCCATAACCAAAAGAGTTTTTATAGCGAGTCTCTCGAAAAAAAATGTTATTGTGCCTGCTTAACGAGAAGCCAGTAAAAGGGGAATTTCATCTTCTTGTGCTGACGGCTTTTCTACAGTCGCTTTGCTGCAGGCACAACTTTTGATCCCTTTAGACTCAAATCATTGACCTTCTCACCCACCCCCAGCCCACCCCTGGTCTGCGGGCAACTGTTGCTGGAAGTGTCACAGCGTTGTCATGGTGATTCAAAGTCTCAAACGGCAGAAGAAAAACACAATGGGATCAAGCCAAACTCTACCGCTGCTCTCGACATCCTGCATTACCATCCAATGAATATGCAGAGGCACCAGCCATTGTGGAGAAGGAGCCAGAAGAGACTCGTACAAACGTCAGTCTCTCTCATCACTGCTGCGCGGCTCATGTTCCGCCATTCCTACAAGAGAACAATCATATATTCAGACAATGCAAACAAAACGACCCCTCAGTGACCTAAGACATTGCTAGTTTTTAAAAGCAACTGTCCTCTCTGCAAAAGAGCAACCTTCGTACGTGTCTAACACCTCCGGGGTTAATACCAGTAAACCTGAGGAAGTGATGGGATTCATTAGACGCGGACATGTGGCTTTCTCCGGGCACCCTGCTTTTCATTAGGGTTGCATGCTTCAGTGGCCAGACCAGAAAAATCGCAGCCCCTGGATCTGGTTTCCTATTTCTGCCTGTGTAACTTTACAGAAACTGCTTAAAAATCTGCAAGCCCCTGTCTCCTCATGTACAAAATGGAGATATTAATGTACACCTGCTCTCTCTACCCACCTTGCCATGGCATGTTGTGATCCTGGGACATAGCAGTACTGTGAATTTGTACTGCATAACTGGGTGTAACCACTATTGTTCTGGTCTAGTGACTAGAGCTGATGAGGAATTTTTAGATTAAGTGTTTTGCTTTCATTTCCTGCTGGAAAATTTTGATTCATTGCAAGATAAAAGTTTAAAGGGCATGTACTCGTGTTGGTTATGATTACCTCTACTGGCTGGCTACATACAAGAGGGAATTTCCGGTCAAAACTGGAAAAATCTACACTATACATCAAAGCAAAGATGCTGAAGTTAGGATCCGTTGGGTACCGCACCACCCAAGAGGTATCAGCTTCCTTAGATATGCTTTTTTGCTTGGAAAACTCTGCTGTGGCACTGAATGTCTACCTAGCGTGAGCATAAAAATCCAGGACATGGCAAATTCAGCTCTGAGTCTTTGGTCTATGCCAACAGCTTTAAATCTAAGACAGATGAATATGCTGCCACTAGAAACTCCCCCTTCCCTTTTATTAGCATCCTCCGAGGTACCTAAGTTTCTGCAATATTCTTTCATATACTGGACTTCCCACATCACTAATGAATTATAGTGCTGGGCTTAGCGTCGACTCTTGCACAGCCTTGAGACAAGCTTATTCATTTCCGCTTCAATTTTTAATTAGAGGAAAGTCATCTACGTTGGTGACGGTCATTTTTCACTAAATCTATTTAATACTGCTTTCATCTACTCATCGAGAATTAGGAGAAGGAAGGCAAGGAAGCAAATCTCAGCTAAAACAGATCTGGAAACGGTCCAAAGCAAAACAGAAGTTCATCTTAAAGGAGCAGAGAGGAGTCAGGAGTAATTTTCAGTGCAGTACACAAGTGCGTGTCAGAAAAAATAAATGGAAGATTTGATTTTAACCAGGAAAAATCATAATGAAAGGGGAAACAAGTGGAGAAATAAAGCACCATTCCTAGGCCTATTTTGTTAAACGGCCATTTGTTGTCAGTAACTTAACGCCCCATGATTAAATGGGGATCCCCCCCAACCTGATTTGCCATTGGGAGTTGCACAGCAGTATGGACACTTAAAATTAAAGCAGATTTAAAATTCATAACACTGTCTGGCAAACAGCACTGGTGTAAACCTCAGAAAGCCGGGAGGATAAAAGGGCTAAAAAGTCAGGAAAAGGCTAAATCAGCTTTCTGGGATCTTGGCAGCACAGTCGCTGTGGGCAGATGGGGGAGGCTTCAGCTCTGCTGGCAGGACATTTTAATGCTATTCTCTGTACACCAACTTGCATTTGGCCAGGCTGGGAGAGAGGCTGGTGATGAATGTAAATCCCCAGCACTTCTGCACGGCGCCGGCAGTCAGGCACAGGGAGCCCTGGCAATAGCAGCACACTTGTATCCTGCCTCTGGGACCGCGGCTGCACCGCAGAAGAGTTTTAGCACGCACCAGTATACAAACCAGGTGACCGAAGGCAAAAATAAATCATTAAAAAAAAGCTTTTTAAGTTTATTTTTCTTTTTTTTCTTCCTCCTTTTTTAAGCTCTCCCCAGGAAACGAAGGTCCTGCTGTCACAGTCCACATGCAAGCACCGGTGGGTCAGTCCCTCCTATGGCAGCCTGGTGTCATAGGGGCTGCAAAGATCCTAGAATTGTTACCGAATTTCTGCAAACAGCTGGCCAGATAAGAGCTGCCCTATGAACCCTTCTTCCGAGCACACGCTCACCCAAACATCAGTGAATCTAAAAGCCTGCTTAACTTCAACACACACATGGGGAAAAAAAGCTCTGCAGTTTTTTTTTGTTTGGGGGTGCTGTGGGACAAGTGCAGCCAAACCCTGCAAGGTGTTGAGATAACACAGAAACAAGGGATCATAAGCATGGCCAAGAAACAATAAAGGGGCATGTGGATGCACTGCTTCAGTCTGGCCAGAGAAAACTGCAGCCCCACAGGCAGTAAAGGCAGTCACAAAGGTTATCAGCTCAGACTGCATCTAAATCTTGTTCTGTTTTAGCTGCTTTGCCCATTTATGAGCCCTAAACAGTAACGAAATGGCAAACAGGACCCCCTAAAATGGCAACTGAGGTCCCTGAAAAGCTAAACCCATTGCCCCACACATGATCCTCCGCAGCTGTTCTGCCATCTAATCCTTCCAGTGGCTCCTCTGGTGCTTGCATTCAGTTGACACAGAACAAACTTTATCCTCCTGACCTAAAAATGCGGGCTGTGAATTAAAAAAAAAAAAAATAAAAAAAAAAATCTGTGTGCTCAGAAACCTGAAGCTGACAGACTAACTCTGCGGCTAGCTTGGAAAAGACCACATGGGAAAGACCAGAGCAGGCTTGGGAGGGATTTGAAATGCAACACGTGTGGCTTGGGATCAGTTAAAAGTACTGACTGTCAGTATGAAATATATGCTGGCGATAAAGCAAGCACTTTAGACACACTCTCAGACTCTTCTTCATTACTAAGACTTTATTCCTCATCAACTCGATAGAGCCTGAGGTTGTAACACACTGTTATTAGAACTTTAAAGAAAAAAAAGGCAAAGTAAAAACCCAATTTGTGGTTGTACCAAGAGAGACTTCAGTGTTGCATTTAAGAGCAGTAAGTAGCCCCGGGGAAAAAGGCTGCTGTTTTCCATAGTTCCCAAAAAGAAATTTGGTAGGAAGAGAAACAGGTTAGTTGCTGGGCTTTCCAGCCAACTCAATTCCTCTCACTCCCAAGCACTATTTAGTTCCTTCCCCACACTGAGAAACCCTTGTTGACATTATAACACAGTGTTGCTGCTTGATAGACCTAATTACACATACACAAAAAAAAGAGGCAGGAAGAGCTCTTAGGAAATCAGAAGCTCAATAACTACCAGAGCCTCTTCCCAAATGCCAATCGGACCGACTTCTTGGGCACGACAGGTTTGCACGCTGCAGTTCCTCCTCCCACGGTGTGGGCCTGCAAGACTAAATTGCTGTTTGGGCACCGTTGTCACATCTTAGTTCAAATCCTGGGCTGCGTTCTCAGCTTTCCTCAACTCCACAACAGGCACTCCCCGTGCCGGTGAAGTTAGGGGAATACTTGAAGTTCTCCCTCATTTTATATTTCTAGTAGAAAGAGCCAGGCTGGTCTGATCTGCAGATGCTCGTAGAGTCATTGCTCTGCAAATGTCCAGTCACCAAGGTCCTTCTGCAAACACCTGAGCACACCTACTCCTCCCCGCTTACACCTCCTTTTGTCTATCTCCCTATAAAATTAGGGAAATACTGTTCCTTTCTCAGCATATTTGTGAACAGAGCCTAGAAATTTTAAACTGGTCGTCCAGAGCTTAGCACAGCAATAAATAACCATTAGGCAGAATATGGTGATGACTCAGACTGCACTGAACTTCCCACGAGGAAAATCCACAGGGATCCTGCATCCGCAGAATCAGAGCTCCCAAACTCTCTCTGTAGGCACCTGTACTCATCCTTTCTCTCTTTCCTCACCAAATGATGGGTCTGCAGTGTTATCGCTGCTATGTTATCTCCACAAAGTTTCTGCTGATCCAGCCCTCTCCACGGAGAACGAAGCACCGTACCCACCTCCGCCACGCAGGCTCCCTCCTGATGAACGGCAAAGGATGTCAGGGAGTGCTTGTTAGTGTCTCCTGTGCTTTATCTGTCCAGTCTTGAATAGACAGTTTCTATTGCCAAGTCTCTCTTTCACCAGCACTAAAAATGAAATCAAAGGGAAAAAAAAAAGATATTTTTTTTTTAAAGGAGAAGTGGAAAATTCTGCTAAATGAAGAAAATACAGCATATTCCCCCCCTTTAGAACAGGATTTCTGGTGAAATGGAAAAGAAACGAACACAAACCAGCCCTTCAGCAATGATAACTTTCTACTTCCTAATGCTCTCAAAGGAAAGGATTACACCTCAAATCTCCGATCACTTTGGGAACAGGAGCAGCTGAACAAGGAGAATAAATCCATTAGGTATGTGCTTTAAGTTATGTCTGAGAGCAGATCTTTAAAAGGAGCAGATGGAAAATTCACTCTGAAATGCTTCACATGCTACAGCCTTAGGGATCATCACGAGGGATTTGTACCATCTTGAGAGCTCACAGGTACAGAGCAATTCTCCCAGGCTAAGATCAACACCGCTACATGCACAACCGGTAAAAGGTCTTACAATCTGTAAATTCAGGGGATAAACTGCATCCCTGGCTTTAGGAAGCTTTCCTCTAAACCAAGGAACATTCACCATGTTTGCAGCTTCATGTGAAGCCAAAGCTGCTTCCAACCACACTCCCCAGCCACAGCTGGGCATGCGTGGGGTAAAGGGGTCCTGGACAAACGCTCAGCAGAGCCCCTTCACGTGCTCGCTCCATCAATGTCACAAAACCACGTGTGCTGAAGAAGGCAGTGGCTGACTGGTATCGCAGGAAGCATCACGTA